ATCCCATTGATACTAAAAATGAGGTTATTCGATTTACGATACCCTTTGCACAGCTTTTGAAGGTTTATGGCTTATTTGTCTTGTGTCTGTCCTTTGCCATTGATGCCTAGACCTTTATGCCTGACAGGAATCGATACTGTTGTTGTTACCAGTCTCGTCTGTTGCAGTTTGTTGATCACTGCCAAGGGAGAATGTTTCCCATTGTGTATCTAATCAAGTTGGCAAACAGGCTCCATTTGGGAGTTTTATAGGACATGAAAATCACTTATGTTTTTGTCAAATTTGTTTTTTGAACTCGTCTGTTGGCCCTGAATGAAATCACTCTGCGATCACTATATTTATATGTTTTGCATCAGTCTATAAATAGACAAAGAAGCATTAAAAACCATGGAAATCATAGGTATGTACATTTGTCACAAAAACCGAACACAACACAGAGAAATCCATGGTTTCGTCACAGGGCAAGATACTACCCGGTTATCCAAGCCGAAGTGATGTGTGTTGTCTTAGGGGACACCACCCCGAGTCTTTGGCTAAATAGCCTATCCGGTGGTCTGCACGCCTAGCTTACAATCATAAGCTCACCGGTTGGAATCCGCGTATGGGCGCGCATCCTCGCAGTATACTCAGCCCACGCGCGACTAGTGGTGGTCGCGCGGCAGCGAAGCGTCGTTACGGTGCACAGCTGACACATTCTTATTTTATTCTTATTAGCTTATCCGCAAGGCAGCGAGGCAAATTCAGGGAACCGCGCCCATTTGGTGCTGGTGACTGATTGCTCAGTTCTTACACCTTTCGTTTGGTTGGTTGACAAACAGGGGCCCAGTCCTCCCCACAATTTCAGCTTCGCATTGCTGCGGTACGCTGCTCCACCGGAGTGAAGCAAGAGGCAGTGACTTTATTTAGTGGCGAGTCACATTCGCCACGTCGCATTGTTGTTAAACCGACATATGTGGCTTTTTATAGGGAGAACACGTGCCAGTCGAAAACTCATCACGTCCTGGAACACTGCCGCCGAACTATTTGCTGGAACGGGATAAATCAGGACCATCCAGCTGGCACCACGAGGATGTTGTTCGGCCAATCAGTTCCTCTGCGAACACTGCCGGGGAAGTGCTCCAAAACTTCGGTGGAAGCTGCAGGTAGGCCGATGGCAAAGATCAAATCATAAATATAATTCTTTCTAGTGGGAGACATAACACGTTAAATTAATCCGCATACATACATAGTGGAAATGAAGCTTCTTAATTTAATACGGACACTGTTTAAGGTCCATGACAGATCAAGCATGTTGAAGCTTCCCCCGTTATCTTGCAGTTCGCAGGCTAGCATGTTATATGGCATTACATACTTTGTAAAGCACCTATGGGTTAGGCGCATGTACTTACACTTAACTGCATTTAAAAAGCAGGATCCTCGAAGCGTCCCTATATATGAATGGATGATATTGAAGCGTGAATAACATTATGGACATCTACTTACAACCGCCGATAAAGGTTTTGTTGCCTGAGACCTGGCGGTGTCTTCCGTTAGCCATGTTTCATTGACCAGTGCAACTAGTTGGGTGATGCTTTGTTTCTAAGAGAGCGTGTATTTGTGAGTCGAACATGCCTTTACCGTCTGTTACCAGACGGCTCTAGTATCTGCCTTTACAGTAGAGTAGAAGTTTTAGCTGTGTCGGTGGATAGTTGTTCAGTGATTGCTTCAGTTATCAGAAGTACTAGGATCTAATGGCAGGCGAGATGGGTATAAAGGTGAAGCAATCGTGCCGACTGGAAATAAGTTCCGGGGTATGGGCAATGTATCCTTTGCGAGCTCTAGCAGACCTGAGGGTAAAGAAAATTTTGAGGCGCTGGGTGCATATTGAAACAAATGGTACTGAGCCAGTCTTTTCATCTCGATAAATTGTATGAACATGGGACCATATAGTTGAGTTCTGTCAGGTGTGCCATTTTTGGGAGTGGCTGCGAAGCCTTCCCCGTCTCCCCTGAAATGGTCGTAAGAAACTGTTGATTTACGAGTTTCTGCCTAACTATGGGATGAGAAACTGGGCAGCGTTGTCTAGTCGTTCCTGCTGCTAATATTGGGAGTATTCTTGTGTACTGCTGGAAGACGGTGCGTGGGATTTTTCAGTGGTAGATTTTTCTTTTTTATATCATTTTAGAGGAGTAAGTAACTTTTCGGGATTGAAGCGGTTTCTTACATGAGTCATAGAAAAGATCAGATGGTCGTGAAGTTGAAGATCCTTCGTAAGTAGCCGTCATCGCAGTGAACGAGCTATTGGTGGATGACAGCATCTTGTTTTCAACGGTTCCTTGGTTGCCTGGGGATGTGCCTTGATCCCTACGACCAGTCGGCGACTTGATAATCGGGCCCTTGCCAACTGTCTGTTGAGGTCTTGGCTGAGATATAACTTATGTGGTGGTCGATCCTGGTTTGGTATGTCTCGACAAATTCGAGAATAAGCTATTTATTTATTTATCCAGTGAGAGATCACTGGTCTCGTTAATAGAGGTAATACTTTTACTCATTGACCTTGATTGGGGCGTTGTGCTGGAGCCGAGAGCAAAGGCACGTGAGGTTGCCACCCCGAGATATGCCCTGCATAGGCCTACTTCGGCGCAGCTAGCTGATTTATCGATTGTGTGGCTTCCCATATTACTAGCTGGGGTGTCGGATTGCATGTCTGCTTTAGGCAATCGTGGCCTCAAAAAGAGACTTACAGAGGCGTCCGATCAAGTTTTCAAAATGTGTCTTCCAACAGTATGAAGGGTTATTGGCGAACTGACACTGCATGAAGCTGTGTGTCTATTCTTCACTAGACAATCTAGTCATAGTCGGGCAACATTGCTTTGATGTTTTCTTTTTTAGTCGCCGACATTTGCATTCAACCTCAGACATGCTGCAAGCACTCAACAATGTAGTTTTCATCTTATCCAAGTTGAATTTAAAATTGAAGCGATAGCGTTTTTTTTATCTACGCGTTCGTTCGTGAGCCTCGGACGCGATGCAGACAATAAGTTGTGCTGCTTTTTTCAACTGGACTCGATCACACTTTTCTGATGGGCTGCTGATTTAATCTAATGATGCAAGATCTTCGTTGAGCAACTATGTAGGTCACTGCTTGTTTCATTTCAGTTACAGTTTGCGAGATCATTTGTGCAATGAGACTGGTATTTGCGGGTCATGTTGTCTTGTATCCTCTTCTGTTTTACTGTCTATTCCTTCGCGGAGTGAAGGATGCACCACCTTTCGCTTGTCGAGTACGGTTAGGTCTTTTTAAAGTCAGGGTCGATAGCTAGGAAAGGTTTTTCACGAGACGGTTTTGAGGTTATAACAACTGGTGGTGTGTAGAGATTTAAAAATGTCTAATTTAAAATCAAACATGGAACTAATGGAAAGACCAAACAAAAACCGGAGTCATTAGACTTGTGATGCACGCATCTAGAGGTTTACCGTTTTCGGTCATGTCCAGGTCCAGCCCCACACAGTCCGATGTGGACAGTGAATTGTGTCACGGGTGGACACAGGAGTTGCTCCTGTGGCATTACGCGCGTGCTTATCCATGGGTCTGGGTAACTACGAGATTTGGATGAATTCCAAGTGAAATTGGTTCCAGCCGGATTGCCAACAATGCAGCGGTTTCCGTAAACGCCGGGGCAGTTTCCCCATTATCCTTGTACAGCAGGCGCTTGAAATGAATGTAAACGTATTGGTGAGCTATCAGAATGGTCTTGCAGTTGAGACCTAGAGTAGTAGTCTTGTTCCGGGAAGCGACGTAGTCGTGTGCGAGTTTCAAGGCGGAAAACACCGAAGTGCGATTTCTCGTAAGGTGATTATCTAAATGGAATATACTAGAATTTTTTTGAACGACGGAAGATCATCGTCAAGCCCAATGGAATAAGTATGTGTAGTTAATTGTGAAAAATTTGGTGACACAAAACCGACAACCCGCAACAGGGCAAAAGTGGTACGACCGCATCCCAGTGCACTACGTACATTGACATTGTAACTCGCACTGACCTTTCCTCGTACACGCCGTTCACGACTTTTGGCTCATTGCCCATTGTTGTACCACGATCTAGTTGCTTTTCGCCTCAATACATACCCTCTTTGTTTCTGAACACTGGTTCACATTCCTCATTCTCGTCCCACTAGGGAAAATCAATTCTCTGCCTCCCAAAATTTGTCATGTGATGCTGTTTCTACGCTTGCCCTCTACGTTCTGTCTACTATCTTGCTCTATACCTCGGTGAATAAAGAGATTTGCGGTTTGGTCGTGATCACATCCATGCAGACAGTCACCACTCATCCAGAAAAGCACTAGACGCCAGCTTCGTCCTGTTAGGACCCCATCAGCGGCGCGCGTCCACCGGAACCTGTCGCATCCGAACCTTACTCTCACCAAACGGCGACTTGGAACCTGTGGCAGCAACGGATTATCAGAACGCTACTACGTCAGAGCAGTGAGAAGACATAAGTTGCGATATGTTAACACACACAGAAACTATTGAGACAATCAATTAGGTTACCGTGGTCTTGATTTTGACATTTTGATTGGTGTGCCAACTTTTCCTCTTGTTTATAACTGTCCGTGAATCCCGCTTGTATTGTGTTCGTGACTGATGCGAACAATCGAAATGTTAACATATCGTAACATATGTCTTCTCACTGCTCTGACGAAATGGCTGAAGGGGACCCACTATTTTACCTTCCTGAAAAGAACACTATTACTTCTGATTCGCACTGCTTTTGCGTTCTAGTTATCATTTGTTGCCTATATCCGCACTTATTCCTCTTCCTCCCCTTTTAGATCGGCGATTGTGGTGCTGTACTCGGTTCCTGTACATCCACCACGATTGGTTCATCAGACACCGTCCAGACGATGCCAACGGAGTTCTCACTCTCTGACTGGAAGGCTGAATTGCTAGTGGCACCGCATACCTCAGATAACACAATGGACGTTCACCGAATCAAATCTAGTCACCCTACTCACGAGGCGGACTTCATCATTCGTGATGACCGATTGCTAGGTAATGGGCATCACGTGTATGTGTGTGTGTGTATGTGCGCGTTTCACATTACATCCACATTCGCCTAGCATTATCCCTACTCTATTACACACCATTCCACCCTACCGATTTCCCGTTTTTATTCACCCCGATTCACTACGAATATGGGCTTTGCGCAGATAGCGCCACGATTAGTGTGGCGAAATCTGCCTTTGACGCTTCCGTGTGCGCAGATCGCTGTGGTAAACGAACACTGAAACAATTGTCACCAACCATGTACCTCTTTCAACGTATCCGGTTCATCTTATTCGTATGATTTATCTCGTGATATCAACACCAGTTCTTTTACTACTCATGAAATTGCGCTAGCTTGTGATGCCCTGAGTTGTTTGCTTGCCTGATGCAGTCACTGATGCTCTGGGAGAGGATGTCAATCAACGCCCTCTGTGCACCCCTAATGCCAATTGCAGCAGAAGACCGTTCATGCGATACTGCAATCAGCACACTTAGTCGCATCGACTGTTCCCACCACCTGTGTTTGAGCTACTTTTGTGCCGTCTCACAAGCATAAAATTGTGTACTTGGGTCGTTCAAGATTCATGGAAGGGTCTGAACACGACGAAACGATCGTCCCATGCTCTCTTGAACGCACTATCACCGGCCAACTGGCGCTAACTCTGGCAAATTTGTACCGGAATTGACCTGAAGGTCGTCATCGTTATTCATGCGAGTGGTTTATTTGCCATCATAACATATCTCACGATGTGCGCTCCAGCTCTAACGCATATACTGCTAACTATTAAATCAATTCAAATTAACATACGATTAAGTGTGTACATCTCCCTCTGTATCTTTTTACTCTTGTAACATATGTCTACGCGAGAAACTTTGCGGATCACAATCAGTCTGCTTTCTCCCTTAGTTCACGTTTACCTGTACCTTCATCACATCCGACCTCAAGGTCATCAGAATGGAGTCGGCCATCTTTGAAATATGTGCTCCAGCATGTCTTCGTATTCGATTGCACCCACCGTTTGCGCTTTGACTCGTGGTCTGCTTGCTTTCTTCCACCCCAACAGCAGTTCTTCCTATCACTCTGATTGTCAGGTGGTGACCGAAAGAATTAGACCCTTGCCTTGTAATCTTGAAGTCAGCGGTTCAAATCCGTTCAGGTGCGGGTGACCTTACAGTATACCCGGTCCACGTTTCATCATCAGCAACACATCAGCCACTTTAACTGATGCTTCGCTGCCGTACAACCATAACAACCTACGGAACGAAGAATAATAAGAGGGAGAGAAGAGGGGACCTAGGGTAAAACACTAATACCCTGAAAAAAAACTCTAGGTCAGGGCGCCTACACCTTGCGTTAACAAACAGCTGACTATCGCGCAAAGCTAAGGCAGCATCGGCGACACAGCTTCCTTGCGGCCTTCACTGCCCCGCATCATAATCAGCCATTACCCCGCGGATAACAGCAGCAAACAAATGCTTTAAACAGGCAGTCCGACTGCGCCATGGCAGCATGCGCGTCACTGGTGTCGCCTACAAGTCATGTCCTGTAAAGTCCTGAGTCAAGCACAAGGCGAGTCACGTGGATTCCTGCCAAAAAAGCAAGACGGACCGACGGCACCAAGTATGGTCGTCAGTGTCTTCATTTCTCCCTACCGATTCAACTTCTGTCCACCTGGAGCCATGGTCCACCCACATCTGGCAGACTAAACAAGCACCGCCTAGGTACGCGGTGGCCGGGCATACGTAGTACGTGCCCAAGCCAACGAAACTTAGTGCTACCTGTTGTTCTAAGGAACTAGCTTGAGTATCATTGCCTAGCACTCGCCTACGCACATCATCGTTGCGGACACGCTGGTGATATCCGACACCAGTAATGCTTGGAAGACTTCGACGATCAAAGGCTTGAAGAGGCCTCAGATCCTCAGTTGGAAGAAGCGAAGTTTCACTACCATAGAGGACGGCCCTTAATGTGGCTTTGTAAACACGCCTTTTTTGACCGAGGGAAAGTTCTTTCTGATGCTCATGATGTCGCCGATTCTAAAAAGCAGTCCTGCCTTTTGAAATCCATGACCTGGCTTCAATGTTTATGCGCCCATCATTGTTAACGCGGCTGCCAAGGTAAGTGAATTGATCAACTACCTCTAGTTCCTCGCTGACAAGGGTCAAGGGATCATCAAGTGACTGGTGGTCCTGCTCAAACATCGCGCTTTGAAGGTGCGAAACGAAATCTGAACCATGGGACCACTTGAGACTATGTTCTGGATTGACTTGGCCAGCCAGACATCGTTAAACAGCAAGACAATGTTGTCCCCATAATCTGGATTAACTAGCCTTTCATTGGGCAGCTCCTCAACTCCTGCATCATGAGGCTCCATGATGGAGTCCACGATGACATTGAACGAAAACGGGGAAATCGGACAACCCTAACGAACGCCACTTGTTTTCGGGAAGATATCCGATAAGTCCCTCCATACCCTGACGCGGCATGTCGTGTTCGAGTACAGAAGACGTAAACTGTTCACATATTCCATTGGAACACATGTCTGCGAAGTATGTCGAATAGAATGCATCTGTCGACTGTGTAGAATGCACACATGAAGTCGAGGAACACAGCTATTGTCGTCTTGTGGTACTTGTGACGCTGCTCTAGCACCTGGCGCAGAGCGAATATGGGGTGCACACAGCCCGTCCATGACGGAAGGTTGCATGCTCTTCCCTACTCCGTGATTTTGGCTCCGCAGTGAGGCGACGAAAGAGAATTGAGGCCAATACTTTTTTCGCCACCGGCGTTAGGCTAATGCTTCTGTGGTTAGCACAGTCGGTGCGACCGCCCTTCTCGTATATTGCCACTATAATTGGTTCACTCCAGTTAGCTGGGGTGGTATTTTCCTTCCAAATATGTTCGAACAGGGAGGTCAGTACTTTGCAGAGGGCCTCACCACTATTCTTAAATAGTGCGGGTGAGAAAGAATCCGAGCCAACATCACGAAAGCGATTGAGGACTGCGATCGCGTTTCGAACCTCAGCCTCTGACGGACCTCTAAACGAACCGTCCATGACTCATCCTGTACCACTTCAGTGGGAAGAGGTCCCGAAGCAGGGAGTGCTGCGCCCACCGAGTCATACTGCGCTCCTTATTGTGAATCTGGGCACCCGCGCTTTCTCTGATTATCTCATTGACGCCTAGTTTCATTGGATCCGTGGCGCTGATCACTTAAAAGAGCTTGTGATAATTGCCTACTGCTTCCGCCTCCTATATTTCTTGAGCCCTACTGGTCCGACAGGTTTCCTTGTTAGCGTGCATGCTCCGCTTCAGTCCGTGCTTAATACTGCGGCTAGTAACATCGTGCTCAAAGACAGTCGGGGGGGGGGTTCTTTTGGACTCCAACTGGTTCATCGACCTCTCGGATATCCAGGGATTGGTGCAATGACGACTGATAGTAACACAAACAGGGACTCTTGCGTCATTCATAGCGGTCGAAATCCTATTTGAATCTATGTGTCTTTAGGACAAGACAGCAAAAGTTCGGTATGCAGTGCATCTTGGTATGATTGCATGATCGAGGGCTGTGATAAGTTCTCAGTTGCCAGGCAAGGGAGACGCTTAGTACACCTGCCGGTAACGTTCATGGAAAAAGGGCAGTGTACCAAGGCATGATCAGAGTCGACCCTACTACTCCAGAACGAGTGACAATGCAGGATGGAACCACGCCACCTTTAACTTATGGCAATGTAATCTATTTGGGTCCATCACTGGACAGCTACAGGAGGACGTTTAGTATCACTTCGGCGCCCACTGTGTCTAAAAGCGGTATTACTAAGTAACAGCCGGTGCTCTGTACATAGTTGCAACCGACCCTCGCCATTGTCCGTCCGTTTCGAGTTAAGCCCTTACTTACCACCCTGCTGAGCTTCTGAAGAGCTCAGACACTCTATATGTGCGTTCATATCCCCTACAAGTATTATGATGTCTGAACTGGTGACGCTGCGAAGCGTGCAACCAATGGCGAGAGGACAAGCTGGGCACAGTTACTTCAACTACCCCATGAGCGTCATTGATCCTAGTTTCGGACGCACAACACATGTCAATACCGAGCATGTATAACTTGCGTGCGAGTGCAGTCTGGTGACCAATTTGTTTTAGATTGCGAACGTTGGACGCAGTCAGGGAAATGGGACAGAGTGGTTTTATAAGGACCTGTTGGCGATTGGTACCCACTGGGTGGTCCGTGGAGGTAGCTGCAGATGGTATGACTTCAGTGACATTGCGGTTGCTGTCAATTAAACGGAACTGTAGATTAAAGGTTAGTAAAAGGGTTGTGAGGGGAGTAAGAGAAACAGGTGGAAGGGAAGCACCAGCAGTAGCATATTTTCGCTTATCCGCCTTACTGTATGCGGCAGATAAGGCGACCCTTGATAATCTGCGCGATGACCGATGCAGGACATTTTTAAAGTTTGTAGTAATAACCGTGGTAGTATGTAGGCTGAGATACTGCCAGGGCGCTCAGGCCTAGAGAGGAGCAATTAGTGTCCTCAACCAAAGCCTTTGGCTCAAAAACCTGCTCGCAAAGTAGCAGATGTGGCAACGGTTCGGTTTTACAGAAATGGACGCCATCCCATTTTAAACCCCCAACCTCTTGGACCAGGAGACAGTCCATTTGACCTCTAACCATTGTGCAACCTGGTATGAGTAGCTCTCGAGAGGCCCGGGGTCACCACCCGGTATAACTCAATGGGTCGACGTTTTTCGCAGACAGTCGCACCACGTTAAGTTCCAGTCTCGTTGCGACGGGCTCTGAGCATCGATACGCGACAGATCCGTTTCACACGATTTACATCTACACGTCACACCATAGCTTCGATTCACATCAGCGCACCATGATCTAACCGCTCTGGTGTCGGTTTCACAACATATACTTCCCGGATTCGAATTCTTGCTCCTGCGTCGGTTTGGGTGCCTCTATAGCGCTTCAAGTAGCATAAAACCTATTTTAGTTGCTTGGTATTGAGAAATCTTTGCAATAAAGTGCTGTCCCACTGCTGATTTATCATGATTCACATGTGCCAAATGATCATAAAGGAAAAGACCTCGTTAAAAAAAGGATTAGCACGAGTGCTGGCTTCACTAGTGGACGCATTGACAGCTACGTGCACGAGGCCAACTCTATCACCCCAAATCAGCATATCTTCCCTTGTTTCTCTGCTGGATACTCCTTTGTTCCATTCGATCCTTCACCCAAGCATAAACAACATCGGTAAACACTGGAACAACACACGGTGCCGACTACGTCGGCAACCCAAGAGCGTATAACCCATTCGCTCCGGACGATCCACGATTTGCAGACTATCCAAGGCGGCTCCAATTGATTGACCCGAACGCTACCCACTCGGTGATCTCACTGGGTACACAAAGTTCTCATTTCCAAAGACTAAAGTTAGATGGTCTTTTTAGCTATTTAGACTGCATTGCTTACGCGATAGTCCTATACAACCTGTCTGTGCTCAACAAGATTATATCTCCTAGCCTTCCTGAATTGGTGTAACTTAGACACCTTACCGTTATATGCAATGCCTCATAAGCGACGTAGCTACCTTGATGAGCGAATCGTTCGCGGAAGTCAGCTCCCAGACCACTTTACATCCCGGCATACGTGTTCTTAGATTTGTACTACTGGACATTGTCAAAGACTTCCAGGCTTTCCCACGGAACCGTGTAACACTGAACGCATTTTCTGTGTTTGACTTACTTTCCAGGTCTTATCGACTTGTTCAAAGTGTTTCATTCCCCTTGCAATCGTCGCGTCACCTCCTCACCATTGTTTTGTTCGTATGCTCACTTTATTTGTATTATCGTGCCGCCACCAATTTTTATCGTCTTTCTGCAGGTGAATTGATGCCACTTCGCGCGTTTGGTGATATCCGCTTCAAGTGGTCTTTAGATGATCTCAAACGGGTGGCTCGTATGCTCGATCTTCCCCCCAGTTATTCCATCATGCCCAGCTTCTACACCACTCCCCCATATCTAGACTCCACTCCACAAGTGGTCTGGCGTCCCTTGTTTCCGCAACGTGAACACTTTCTCATCCTGGCCACTGATGGCTTATGGGATATGATCTCTCCGGATGAGGCAGTTCACGTGGTCGCCAAGCATTGGTTCGACTACAACTGTGTGAGTCTCTTCTCTGCTGTTTGCTTTTTGACTGAGTGATGGTCCTGTTGGTTCGATTCCAAGTTTTGTTACACTTCATTTTGTTGCGCACTGTCGACATTTCACTACTCCATGGTTCGCGTCGTTCCAGGTTGTGCTCTCCGGGCAATGTAATGAGGTGGAAGTCAACTCCGAGGCTTGTTGGTCGCTGGCTGATGACTTTGTTGTTGGTTTAGCTATCTCTCTCAATCGCTGTGACAAGTGTATCCAGCGACACATTTTTTATACAATAGTCCAATGAATAGGCATAGAGCCAACCAAAACCATGGAATTAGCCGATGATGACAGGCTTGTTCAATCTCCCCTATCAATTTAGACTGAGGACCTTAAATAAGTTAAATTCTACAGCAGCAGGCACCGGCGCCTATGTGACGACTTTATTTTGGCTTACCAGATTTTGAGGAACCCCAAACACGTCTGCGGCCACCTACTACAACGGAGCCACAACACGAATTTGTGGGGCCACCGGTTCAAGTTAGCCATGCAACACAGTCTGTTAGAATGTCGACGGAACTTTTCTTCTTGTGTGACAGCCATGGAACGCCCTCCAAAATTACGTCGTTTCCGCCCCCACTTTGCTTGTGCTTGAAAAACGCCCTGACATTGCCCTAACCCCCCACCTACATTACGAGAAATAGCCTGTGTGTCTCGACAGACGACATAATGCGACGAAAGTTGTACAACCAGAATTAACTTACACGACTGAGTTTGGCCCTTTTTGCATGCCTCTGTGTTAACACTGTGGTGAGTCCCCCAAAACGATTTTCCTTTTATCACTGTTTTCTTTTCATCATGTTGATTCTCTTGCTCTCCGTCCTGTGGGACTTGCTAATCATCCGCTTTTTTGCCCGTAATATGCCATTGTTCGATTGTACAAATTATTATGTACACAGATTTTCCACTGGTTCCGATTGCGCACCATATCCTGCATTGTTTCGAGCCGTCTGCACTCCTCATCGTTCGGCCCCCAACAGCGGGCATGTGGATCCAATGGCGGCAAGATGTGATGGTAACGATTTCATATGCTGTCGCCAGGTGGACGGCGGTCCACCGCGTGGTCTCTTCCTGCTGAGTCCTGCACGAGCAAACAGGGCGCGATGGGACAATCGCTCAGCTGACTTACGCAGGACATAACTAAGCCATCCTAACTGGCACACCAAACTACATTGTTGAAGGGAATACCCGCATTCCATAAGACACGACGTCTGACTTCACCGTTGCAGGAAATCGTTGGCTGACTTTTTATCTCTGACTGTCTCCACCCGATTGATCGAAGCCGGAAACGAAACATCCGTCAGGCATAGTGCAAGCAATACCGAAAGTGCCTCGATTTCGTTTTAGCTGGCTGAGATTCGCTTTTAGTCAAATCGCGAATCGAGTTTTGACCACATGTCGCAACTTACATGTGGGTCTTCTATTACCATGATATCGCGGTTAGATTACCTTCCAAGCGCATTAACAGGTTGAATTCCATACGGTACCCTGTTCTAGCGGGTTGATGCCGGTTGAACGAAGATCACCATCATAAAGCTGACGTTTTTCTCCATAGGCCTTTCTTCCTCATTGGTGCCCCAGATGTTTGATGCATTGTTAACATCTGAGATCCGATATCGTCCCCGGTTGCTCTGAATGGTGCGCCGCTTCTGAGCACCATGATTATCATCGCCTGTACCAGTAGGGTTGGGCGTCCTCGCTGTATACTCAGCCCGCGCACGACTGGTGGTGGTCGCGCGGCAGCGAAGCGCCGTTACGGCGTACAGCTGACACATATATAATAGTTCTTCTTTCACAATTTCACTTCATGTCCCAATTTGGCATTTCAGCGACATACAAAACCCTAAAGCGACCCCGACACCATCTAGCCGACTTGTTCAACTTGTAAACGAGTACCGTGTTCATCCTGGGTTCGTGCTTATGCGGTCTGTCACCCTACCCACATGTTAGAGCGAAGCAATTTGAAATCAACTACCACAAATCGCCACTTGTGTTGCTGCTCCATTGATTAAGTTGTTTTGTTTGTTAAACTCTCGAACGGCTACAGTTAAAAGGAAACGGTTAGTTTTTATTGACTTTGTCATGAAGACACTGCCATGTTCCAAATTTACCGGGTGTTACAAACTATTCGGAGAACGATCACTGTATAGCATACTATTTTGCGTAGCTACGGTGTGTACGCGTTCAACTCCGACGAATGTGACTTTGGTTGTTCCATTGAGACCATCGTAGGATGGCAGTAGTCTCCCATCATCTTTACCTCGAGTAAGACACTCTCCATAAAACCGTTGAACAAGTTCGAAACTAATGCCGTCACGACATCACGCATTTGAGGCGGCCAACTAGCGAACTCTGTCCATTTACAATCGTATTTGTTCGTTCCTGTGATCGCGGTTAATTAATGATGCGACATGATGGCTGTCCAATAAGGTGACGAGATATCTTGCGGTTTGGCTTGGAACTGAACCAATCAGCGAAACCTGGTGCAGGTCAAACCATCGGTCGCGGACAATACGGGTTTCCGCCGAACGACTATACTGTTTTGTGTACCACAGAGTACGGTACTTGTGAACTAGCTTGCTCATATACATAGAAACGCAGGAGCAAACACTCGTTGATGTTTATGCAAATTAACCCAAGGTGCCGCATCTCGACCGATAGTTGCCATCCGCGATTTCCAGTGTACTTACAGTAAATTAGAGGATAGGTCTAACCCGCTTCTGCCTAAGCTCCTTTTGAATGCTTCTACCGTGTCATGTTTCATTAAGACGACTGGTTGTTTATTAGGTCTACTTTCCCGTCATAATACCAAATCTAGAGTAAGGCTCACACGTCTGTTGTCCGATCACTCGTGGTGAGGTGCAGAGACTGCAACGAGCTCAGCATGTAGCTACCAGACTCATCTGTGATTTACAGAATATGTCGTACGAAGACCGATGCAGGAGACTGGGACTGTATACCCTACCATACCATTGGTCTATACCATTTCCTGGCCAAGTTGTCCTCTTGGGCAACAGAAATAATCTGAGGGGGCATTCAACATGAGTCTACTCACTTAATTTGTTCCGTGCATACGCCAGTCACTTGTGCAGGCGTGTAGGTGTGCGTGTATAGCCCGTCGCCTTCAGCCAATTGGACCTCAGACACACTAAGTCATAGGGGTGCAGGTGGGACGCTTCAGCTCCTACGCACGGAACAAATTAATTGAGTAGACTCATGTTGAATGCCCCCTCAGATTATTTCTGTTGCCCAAGAGGACAACTTGGCCGGGAAATGGTGTAGAGTTGACCTCATCATGACGCACTGGATATTTAATCCAGGTCACTTCTTCATATTAAAGCCGCGGCTACACGTGCGCGCACCAGACAGTACTTGCGGACATCGGTACAAGCTCGTACTATCGGACCTGAAACGGGTAGCTCACCATCTATGTTTCGAGCGACGAATGGTGAAAAATGGAAACTTTTGCACTGGAAAAATATCGATGTGAAATCGGTGTTGAACTTCAATCAATTCCTAGATACCCACTTTACGGATTACAGATTTAGGGAGCGCATCAAACCCGGATGGGGTGGGTGGGATAGGTGTAAAATGCCGCAAACACGCAGGAGTTGACGACATGATTACGCGCACATGCCCGATCTAGCTACGATGGAGCAACACACAGATGCATATCTTCTAGCCCTCTATTTTCGGTATTTAGTATTCAACATTCACTACACGGCTCTTTCAACAATTTCATTTTGACATCCAATTTGGACATGCGTTGCCTTAGTTATGCGCAGTTTCCTCTTTGATGGCTTGATGTGGCGAACTCAGGGCTCAGCAGGTTAGATACCACTGAAGCTCTTTACCGTTGTACATGTTTCTACTAAACCTCCTGGATTAAACCGCCACGTTGGGACTAATCCCTAACTAGTTGGGAAACTTATATACAACTTACAGTGTTGGTTTTGCTGCCGTGCGACCACCGCCAGTTGCTTGAGGGCCGGGTATACCGTGAGGTCGCCCGCGGCTACACGGATTGGAACTATTGATATCAGGATTACAACACATGCATGCGATCATTTCAACCTCCAATGATTTTGTTGACCAGTCTTTGATGATTCTCTGTGGCAGGAATATCTCCATGAGGATACAACACTCAGCTTTATCACAGTCTTCTTGGTTAATCTTGTTACTATTTGGTACATGGAACGGAATTTCTCGGGCTTGGCACAGCGCGTACACACACACACACACGCCAATACAGTTGACCCATTCGAAATGACCTTTCAAATCGTTTGACATCCAGAACATGTCAGCAAGCGCAGGTTACATGGTGTAAGCATGATTTTTGTAGGCTCGAAGGATGTTAATTTAGATGTTAAAACTGTCTTGGATTGAGCAACTTTTGATCTCTGACCCACAGTATGGTGGGAAAGTTTTGCTTACACTGTTCCTGATAGCAATTAAGTGCATGTAATCACTTTATTTCTTGTTCAAGCCCGTGAGGGAGTAGCCGCAGATGTAATTTCGCTTGGACCAGCTTACCTTAACTCATCTACTCCCCTCATTTCTTCTGCACTTCAGGATCCGTCCCACTGCGGCCCCGGCGATACCGCGGCGACTCGCCTCATCCGTACCGCATTGGGCGGTGGCAGTATGGACCCACAGCGCATCTCCGCCCACTTCTCCTTGCCGGCCACAATTGCCCGGTACTACCGCGATGACATTACCGTTATCGTCGTTTATCTTCCCACCGCGTTCCCCAAACCAGCATGATCACTTTATTGATCCTTTTACAGCAGTATTAATATCACTTCTTTTGTCGTGGTCTAACGTTCCTTAATCCATTACATCTGCAGACGCTACATCGAGTCGCCACTGGCTGATGGAAATTCCCCTGTACTTTTATCTCTGCACGTGTGATCTTGGGGCGCACCATGTTGGAGATACCAACGAGGTGGTCTTTGACGGCTTATTCCTATCATTTTTCCTCCCTGTGTTTCATTATGGCATCTCCCAGTTCTGTTTTCAATCGGAAATCAATCAGATCCACCTTACTCTTACAAACCAGCTATTTTGCATTTATTAGACATGCCGTTTCTAACGGCTGTTCCCATGTCTATTTTGCAGTTTTTTTTCGACGTTTCCATGTGTGTGTGCTCCATTTTGCACACCACCACGTTATTCTCCATGGTCTATTGTATTTGCAGTCTTTTGTTCCTCTACATCTTGCTGCATTTGCGGGCGACTTCCTGGAGAGACAACAGCTTTGTTATGAATTCCTCTCATGCTCCCGGGTGCATCACTCACACGAACATATTTTTATCTTCCTGCTGAAACACCCACTGTCGCTTCACGGTCGAGCGAAGATTCTCTTCGCCGAGTTGTTAGTTGATCCGCAGACATTCGGGTTCCCCCTTCTCCACCTGATGCGTTTGTTCCCTCAGATGTGATCTTTTGGTTCTTGATAGAAAATGTGTATTTGCAGTGTTGCATCGTTGTTCATCTTCCGTGTCTCCCTTAGCCCTTATGGTTGCTAGTGCGAGGATGTTGTTCAGAAGGATTCCCTCCGTACTGCGCGCACATGAACTTCTCTGTCATAATCAGTTGCCCTCTCAATTTAACTGCTCACATCCTGCTTCCATGAGAGCTAGCAACACTATCTCTACACACCTAGGTCGGTACGTCTTGGATTAAATGAACTGCCCGCCTGCTGTCTATTTCACCGTTGTTGACATTCACCCACCGTTCCTGTCCTAACATCGTGATCATACCTGTTAGATCCTATCAATCATTAATTATTTTTCGCTAAAATTAACAGTTGACATTTGGTTGATTCAGCGGCTTTTTCTTTTCAGTTCTATGTAGTACAAGGATAAGGTGAATCTAGCTTCTTGACCACGGATTGTGACATTCATTTTTAACCAGGCCAAACAAATAACAGTCAATAATAGACATTCGTTCTAAATTTTCACGACATATACCTGACAGGACATGGTCATGTTAGTCTTCCTGGCATTGGCTCTATTTTTCCCATTACTTTCCATAAAATCAACCAGACCATATTGCCCTCGGTCACAGACGACGCGCCTCACCGGAAGCCTAGCGAGCCAGCTGGCCCACTCAGCTAGTTTCCGGACATAATGGTCACTTGTGCTCGATAAATTGTCCAAATTCTGAGGCATCTGCTTGTTACTTAACCTCGCGGTCCAACGAACAACTTTAGGATATCAACTGTCGTTAACTGAGTTCAGCTCATTTAAACAACGATGATATGCGCTCCAAAGGGAAGCGGATCCAGGTGCCATGGCACACTTCGTCAACATGACAATAATTAACAATGGGGGAGGAAATGAGGTGGAAGGTAAATGAAATACAAATAAAATTCTGGTAAAATTAATCGACTTGGATTGTTTATGACCAAATGCGAGAAACCGGACGCAAGAATGCCGCTATGCGACTGCACCACGTCAAATAAAGCATCCAACTCCATCCCGTTGTTCATATCCACCAACCCGTCCGAGTCCCTCAGTCAGATTATCCATACCTTCAGTATATAGTGCTTACCGGGAACGGAGTGCATGACTTAGCCGACTTAAGCGGTTCACACTTGGTAGACACTATTGGGCAAGCTACTTATTGGGATTGCCTCTGGCGCACAACGAGAAGTCTCTGAAGTCGATTTTATGCTTAGCCAGAGGAGTCCGAATAGTTCATGGGTTTCTGAAGTCCACTATTTATGTGGCAGTACTTTGTATCTTCCCTTTGCGTGGTTCTAGATCGTGTGTAACCCTGCAACGTTATCTAGCAAAACAATTCCAAAAATGACCACAAGTCTCATGAAGTAGCGAATGTCTGTTTTATCGGAAACGCTGTTCGCTATTCTTATCCGAAGTGCGCATCCTAGATTGACTGTTGTGAGTAGGCGACTGCTGGGGAGATCGCGTCCAGTTTACCCCCATCTCCGTCAACTTGAACGATGGGCGATTCATTTGAACTTAATCAGGCATACTCTTTCACCATGGTTTTCCGAATCACCTACATGTCATCGACTGCTGACATCTGGCTCCCCACCGTTTTTGGATTCTATCGTGAACTGATGCTGTTGATACAGCGCAGGGATTCTTGAACTGATACTCCCTGCCTCTCGTTTTGGTAGGGCGTTGTAGGCTGTCTGTTTGTCATCATCATCGTCAACAGCGGTACATCAGCCATTTGAACGGATGTTTCACTGACATACAACCACGGTGACCAACGGAACCAAGAACACGAAGAGGGAGAGAAGGGGGACCTGGCGTAAAACCTTAATGCCCTAAACAAACATCCGGAGTCAAGGCGCCTACACCTTGTGTAGACAACATACCGTCACAAACAGCTGTCTAACGTGCGAAGCTAAGGCGGCATCGGCGAAGCAGCTTCCTTGAGGCTTTCACTGCCACGCGCCATAGCCAGCCATTGCCCCGCAGATAACACAACATCAAACACCAAGCAGGCAGTCCGATTAGGAGACGGCAGCAGATGCGCCACTGGTGTAGACTTCGAGCCATCTCTTGTAATGTTTTAAGCCATGCCCAAGGCGGATCACCTTGACCCCAGTCTTATGGCAACGCGGACCGACGGCACCATGTTTTGGTCGTCAATCTTTTCATTTCCAGCTGCCAAGTTAATTTTTGTCCACCTCGGGCTTCCCGCCACCCTACAGTTGGTAGTGCGTGTCCAACCCAATGCAACTTATTCAGTGCTAACTGTCTTTCTAATAAACTAGCCTGGTTATCACTGCCTAGTATTCGCTAACGCACATAATTCGGACACGCTGGTGCCATCCGACACCAACAATGCTTCGCATACAGCGATGATCAAAGGCTCGAAGGCGCCTCAGATCTTCAGACCGAAGGGACTAGGTTTCACTACCATAGGGAAGGATGGCCCTCACTGTGGCCTTGTATACACGGCCTTTCAGACAGACAGAAACATCGTACTGACGCCACAGATGTCGCAGAGACAACATAACAGTTCTGGCTTTTGTAATGTTTGAACTGACTTCAGCCGTTATGCCCCCATCGTTGCCGATGCAGTCGCTGGGGCAGGTCGGTTTATCGATCTGTTCGCACTACTTGACTCTGTTTGTCAATCTAAGCCATTGGCCACTGACTAGTATTTGTTCATGGTCGTCTTTATCACTAAGAATATCTCATCGTGTTCAACCCAGTCACAAATACACTGTGACCTCTGGTCACTTTTAAGTGATCAGTGGTCAATCCAGTCATTGGGACCATGCCTGAAGCAAATGGATATTGTCTGCTGTCCACAGGGCTGGGACCTCAACCGAAACACTTATTCACCATTTGTCACAAAAGTTAGTGACCGGTTGGGTTGGGAGGGGACATTTTGAAGCACGCATTATGTGAATGGATCATGACGCGCAATCCCAATCTGGGCTACGATTCACCTTATCACAGTTTTACTTCAAAGGTGAATTGCGGTCCAGCTTGATGTTGCGCTTAGTCTATTCGCATGTAATGTTCCAGAATGACCCCTCCAGTGAGTCATCAACAGCTGGGATAAACGTTGCCCACCTCGACCCGGTGGCTTAAGAGTAGAGACCTGGGCGGGTGCAGGTAAGTGGGAAACCGCTGATGGAGTGCAGTGTTTTCGGGCAGGCAACACCTAACATTTATCTGCACTAGATAGCACTTTCGTCAGTATGGCGCTCAGTGATGGACTGGAGTCCGTAACCCAATGTTTCGTGAGCAAGAACTCGAGACGATAAACTGCAGCCGATGCGGATAACCGACAAGACTAGGTTGTCAGTCATGGTATTGCTGTACTCACTATTCACTGGTATCCAAATTACCGGTGTGTAGGAACAGTTTACTATTCTTAAGCTACCAGTTGGCCAATGACAGCCTCAATAGAGTATTGTTAATGTGTGTAGGTAAAATGTTTAGCTGGAATTCGTCACAATTGGGCTTGGTCATTCCAAAGTTGAATCATTAGTATGTGATCGACTGATAGCCCATATTCTTTCAGTGAGTGCCAGTTCGTCTAGACCCGTAGATGACTTCGACCAAACATTCAGGGACTGGGATTTATTATCTAAATGAATTTATCATCATCCTTCAAACTAAACATCAGATAAGAGGGAGAAACACCTCAACCATTGTGCCGCAATACAATCTAATCAGGCAGCAGTAAGAAGAGAAAAGAGCAAAATAATCTGTTACGGCTGGAGAGGTCTCCAGAACTGCTATTCGATTTGAAATATAAACATAGGCTCCGTGCATGTATTAGTATGTGCTGATCTCCGCGTGCTTTTCGGCAGACGCCCGCGACGACGCTGTGAGCACATAGACACTTACCAACTGGCGCATACAGATGTTCTGAATGCTTATCAAAGTGCGCTGACATCCGAGCTGAATAATGGGATAAATCTTATTGCTAACGTGAAAATTCAGTTCCTATGCTGTCTCCAGAACTTATCGATGCTCGTCGCCACATTCCAGCTAAGAGCGAACACAATGAGACTCGCTAGGATCTCAACACAAAACTGCGCGCTAGCCTGAAAAGAGACTATGAGACTAAGTATTCTCATCGTGCGTCGGAGATTGAAATGGATGCCTTTGGCAATCATCGGAAGTTTTCTCTGATATCGGAAAAAGCAACAGGGAACATGGTTTTAGCGAAACTATGTGCGACCAAAGTGGATAGCCTAATTACAACCCGTCAAAACGTTTGGGGCGTTGGGCTGAGCACTTTGCAAAGTAATTTAATCGGCCACAACTATTGGGTCTGCTGCCGACCAGTGATCGCCATATTTACCTGGACTGTTCCTTTGGATCCGCCCTCACGCGGAGGTTGAACTTGAAATCGGGCTG